ATTACACATGGTAAATATTTTAAGGTTTTTTTTTCTAAATTCTCACCACATCACTCCAAAATCCCAACCCTTCAATTTTGTTTTTTTTGGTGCGAAAGAGAGACTAAGTCTCTAAATAAAAAAAACGCAAAACACACAACTGCAAAAAAGATAAAAAATAAAAAATAAAAAAAATAAAAAAAAAAGAAATAAAAGAATAGAACAAAAAACTATCTAGCAACAAAACAGACTTCGTTGCTTTATTTCTCCTAGCACACGAACAACTATGGCATAGCAGCAAGCACCATCCGAGCTCAACACACACCTCCCAAGTCCTCCAATAAAATGGCACGAAGGTCCAACGGGACCGCATCACACTACTAGAAATAGGCCGTTTTCCGACGGACTAAAATTCCGTTGAAAAATTCGAATATTCCGACGGAATTTTGGTCTGTCAAAAAAATCCGTCGGAAAATATAAGTTGCGACGGAAACTCCCTCAGAAATATTCTGACTGATTTTTTATCCCTTGGAATTTACAGCTTCCGACGGAATATTCCCTCGGCAAAATTTCTCCCGACGTAATACGACAGAAATTCCATCGGAAGATTTAAATTCCAAGGGAAAAAAATCCGTCGAAACATATTAATTTCCTACGGTTTTAAATCCGTAGGAAAATTTCCGACGGAGTTTATTTCCGTCAGAAATTTCCGACATAATTTAGGCCTTTTCCGACGGAAATTTATTTTAAAAAAAAAAACAAAAATAAACCCCTAAATGAAAACCGGACCCCCTAACCCCTTCCCTTTTCATTTCTCTTTCTCTCTCCCCGCCCCTTTTCCATCTCCTCCTATTCATTTCTCTTTCTTTCTCCTCTCCTCCTCCTCTTTCTCTCTCCTCTCCTCCTCTCTTTCTCTCTCCTCACCTCCTCTTTCACCGCAACCAATAAACGGCTATCCCTCACTCACCGAAGCTTTAACACCCATAAACGGCTCTAGATTTCCCGACGAATTTTCAGGGGATGACTGAGGTTCGGCGTCGAAACGAGGCTTGGAATTGTTGAGCTGGACTCGGTTTCATCAACAACAACCTAAACATCAATTGTAGATCTTGTAATTTAGGTTTGTGTTTAGATCTAGTTTTTTTTTTTTTTTGAATAAATGTTTAGATCTAGTTAATTGTATATGTAATTGTAATGTTAATTTATAAAATTTATTAGACAATTATATATTTATACATTTCTATTAATTTTCCTTGTTTAATTTTGGTTTTTTGAATTTTTTTGGGGTGTTTTTGGGGTTATTTCCGGTTTTTTGGGGTTAATAGTGGTGGTGTGGTGGTGTCGGTGGTGGTGGGGTGGGCTGTTGTGGTGGTGTCGGTGGTGGTGGGGTGGGCTGTTGTGGTGGTGTCGGTGGTTATGGGGTGGGGTTGTGGTGGTGTGGGTGGCATGGGGGAGGTTTGGACTGGTGGATGTGGGAGGTTTGGAAGGGGGGTCTGGGTGGTGTAGGGTCCGTGGGGTGTGGGTTATTTAGTGGTTCTGGGTTGGGTTTGGTGGGTCTGGGTAGGGTGTCTGGGTGGAGTGGGGAGATTGGTCTGGGTTTGGTTTGGTGGGTCTGGGTCTGGGTGGGGGGGGTGTCTGGGTGGGGTCAGGTGTCTGGGTGGGGAGATGGGTCTGGGTTTGGTTTGGTGGGTCTGGGTGGGGTGGGGTGGGGAGTCTGGGTGGGGGAAAATGGGTTGGGGACGTGGTGGGTGGTGTAGGTTGGTGGCGGGGGTGGATCTGGGTGGGAATTGTGGTGCTTTTTTTTATTTTTTTTTATTTACTTTTCCGACGGAATATACCTCTTCGACGGAAAATTTCGTTAGAACATCTCCTCCATCGACGGAAATTTCCGTCGGAACATAACCCACTCCGACGGAATTTCCGTCGGAACCTTGCGACGGATTTTCAATTAAAGTCAACAAAAGCGCCGACAGAACATAAACCGTCGGAATAGACCTTTCCGACGGAATATCGCGAAATTCCTACAAAGTGTAATGTGACGGTGCTTTCTGACGGAATTTTTCCGTCGTTGATTGACTGTTTTCTAGAAGTGTCAAGAACCATTACTCTTTGGGAAGATCAACACCGAAATTAGCTAACCAATCCGCGGCACGATTAGCTTCCCTATAGCAATGATGAACCGTAACTTCCCATCCACTCCTACGAGCGATGGCTTTGCATTTTCTGATGAGATGAATGTATGGGGAGTTAGAGGGAGTTTCCTTCGTCAGAAGTCGAACCACCACTTCATAATCTACCTCCAATTGAACCCTTCTATGGCCAGCATTTCAAGCAATGGCAAGACCCCTCAACACGCCCAAGAGCTCGGCTTTTGTACATGAACAAACACCACAATTAGTGGCAAAAATTTCAAACAATACACCTCTATGTCCACGTATAATGCCTCCAGCTCCAGCTTGTCCCGGATTCCCTTTCGAAGTCCTATCAGTATTTAATTTGACCCACTCCTCTTTAGGACACAGCCATCGAACCAAGCGTTCAGGTCTAGCACTCCTAGCAGCCTTCTTTCCAACACTAAGATATCTATCTAGCGCTTTATTAATTTCACCAACCCTCGCATAAATGAAAGCAACTTGGTCCACTGGAATGTTCACCTCTCTAGCAAAAGAGTGTTCATTTCTCCACCGCCACAGCCACCAGCAAGTGACTGCAAACACTATCTCAAGACCTTTGTTACTTCCACTCTTGCTCAAATCAATATTAGCAATCATCCATTCATTAAAACACTCCCCCGAGTTCATGAGGAAATCTCTAACTCCAAGCTTGCGCCACACCATTTTAGCAGCAGGACAAAGCCTTAGTATACTTCAACTTCCCCACATGCTATACACCTTGGATCATCCGTGAATTTTCGAATGAATCTATTAACATTTGTCATAAGCCGATCCTTCATAGCCAACCACATAAACATACGAATGCGCTGTGGCACAGACGTTTTCCAAATAAGTTTCCAGCCCTTAACGTGTTCCAGATCAGTACTCCAATTATTCTTCATAATTGCGAAGGATGAACCAATATTGAAACCCTCCGAAGGAGCACCAAACCAGTAGATCTCGTCCACCGCATCTTCTTCATCTGCTAACTCGAAGGAAGCTATTTCACTTAGCATATGAGCAAGCAACTAATCCGCAAAGAGCTCATGCTTCTAACATGTGTTTGTATCCCACATATCTTCAACCAAATCTTCTTGAATTTCAATCGGAGGTTCCATAACAGCACACTCCAATAAAGTCTCCTTCGAAGCCCATCTATGCTTCCAAAATTTGGTCTTACGGCCATTGCCAACCGCCATACCCACACCCTTCCGGAGGGTATCTACACAACTTAAAATCCCCTTCCACGCATTCGAAGCATCTGAACGATCCTTGAACATGTCAATATCACATCTTCCACCACAATACTTGTACCTCAACACTCTAGACTATAAGGTGTTAGGCTCAGCCAACACTCTCCAGCCCAACTTAGTAAGGAAGCCCGCATTTTCTTGCCTCATGGATCGAATCCCCAAACCGCTAGCACTTTTAGGCTTAGTAAGCGCATCCCATGCCACTAAGTGCACTTTTCTCATACTTTCACTTCCACCCCACAAAAATTGTCTAGCCTTTTTATCAATATCATCACATAGGGATCTAGGAAGCTTAGTGGTCTGCATAGTGTAGTATGGCACACTCGACAAACATGACTGGATCAACGTAGTTCGGCCAGCCATAGAAAGTGTCTTCAACTTCCATCCTGCCAATTTCGAGTTAATTCTTTCCATGAGGTATTCATAGTCATTTCTTGAGGTCCTTCCATTAATCTTGGGGACCCCCAAATATTTACCAAAATCCAAAGTAGCTTCCATGCCAAGCTCTTCACAAATAGCATCTCTGAAATCCAGGCTGGTGTTAGCCGAGAAAAAAAACACGAGATTTCTTCGAACTAACTTTGATGCCCGATACTTCACAAAACTTGTCTAGGCACTCACGCATCAACCTTGCTTGGTCTACATTTTCCTTACAAAAGAGAATCAGATCATCCGCAAACGCCAAATGTGAATTACTCGGCCCATTAACACTTGCTCTCACAGGAATCCAAGCCCCACATTGCACTTCATGCTCAATCAAATGTGCCAAGTGTTCCATACAAATAACATAGAGATACGGAGACAATGGATCGCCTTGTCTAATTACCCTTGTCAGAGAGAAAGGAAAAGTAGGTTCCCCATTCCATAAGACTTGCAACTTTGTAGAAGAAACACAATTCATTACAAGATCAACCATATATTGCGAAAGACGTAATTCAAGTAAAGAGTCACGAATAAAACTCCACCGCAACCTGTAATATGCCTTTTCAAAATCGATCTTCATCGCCATATAACCCCTCTTTCCTTGCTTCCACCTCATGGTATGGAGAATTTCTTGGACAATTATGATATTGTTTGTTATTTTTCTCTGAGGCACAAACGAACATTGAGTTGGAGAAATAAGACTTGGCAACGCCGGCTTGATACGATTCACTATCACCTTAGTCACGATCTTGTAAACAATGTTGCATAACCCTATGGATCTAAAATGTTTCAGGGTTTACGGGGAATCCATTTTTGGTATAAGCACCAAAAACGCATCATTCAAACCCTCTAGAAATTCTTTGCCTTCCAGCACATTGGAAACAAGTCGAATTACACTTGGATCAACAAGATCCCAGTAAGTTTGGTAAAAAAATAGGTTGAAAGCCATCGGGTCCAGGGGCTTTATAAGGCTTCATACCCATCAAGGCCTTTTGGATTTCACACCAATTAAACGGTCGAGACAACAGGTCCCATTCATCCGAACTCATTGATGGAAAGTGATCTCTCAACAGCCTTTGTCCAATAAATTCGCACTCCTCTTTTGAAAAAATAGAACTCCAGTAGCTCACCACCATTTCCTTGATTCGATCTTGACATTCCATCCATACTCCATTCTCATCTTGAAGCATCTCTATACAGTTCCATTTCCTTCGAATAAGAGTAGATAGATGAAAATATTTGGTGTTTCTATCACCGTCTCGAATAGCATCCATGTGAGATTTTTGAAACCAAAGCATCTCTTCTTGATCAAGAATCTCATCAACTCTCTTCTAAGCACTGCTTCCAACTTCAATAAGTGCGAGAGACGCCCCTTAGACAAAGCTTTTTTCACCCCTTCAAGACGCGCCCTTAGTTCTAATTTTGTCTTAAAAATATTATGAAATTCCAGTTTATTCCAACCAGTGAGTAAAGCCGCAAATTTACGAAGGAACGAAATCAAATGCTCACTATTACTCCAATTCGAAAAAAGAAATTCTTCAAATTTTCCATGGCTCATCCACACAGCTTGGAACCTAAAAGGCTTCATCGCTTGAGGCACTTGAGCAACGCCATTAGTGCTTATCAACATGGGGCAATGATCTGAATTGGACCGAGGTAGATTGCGAAGGGCACCGTTTGGAAACTGTAACCTCCAAGCATCATTACTTAAAGCACGACCCAAACGGGCCGACTTAAAAGTGGCCTCCAAATTTCCTCTAAACCAGGTTTGTTCTGGTCCAGAGAAAGACACATTGATTAATCCAATTAGAAAATTCCCTACACCTCCTCTGCATTTCCGATCCACCACAACCATTTCTCTCCGACATGCTCATGGTATCGTTAAAATCCCTCGCCAATAGCCACGGGCCTTTGTATCTATCACGAATTTTCTCCAATTCTTTCTACAAATCCTTTCTCAAAGAATTACATAAATCGCTGAGAAAAGCCAAGGTTCCTCACTACGGCGAAAGATTTCCACCATAAGATGTTGATTATTATGAGTTTCGAAAGGCACAACAATAATTTCTTCCTTTCTCTAGAACAACCAAATTCCACCACTAAAACCTTGCGCCCCCACCCGGGTTTGGCCTGAGAAACCAATTGTATCACTAATACTTTGGGCTTGATCCCCACTAATATGAGTCTCAACTAACACCAAAACTGAAGGCTTTTTGATTCTAACCAATTCACGAATAGCATTGAGCTTTCTACTCGTACCTTGAACATTCCAAATCAATAGCTTAATGGACATATTAAACATAGGGAAAATAGGGTATCTATCATACACGTTCAAAGGAACGTTAGGCATCAATGACAGGAATTGTAATACCCCGTATTTTTATATGTATTTTAATTTATCATTATTTTATGAAGCATTTAAATAATTTGAAATGAATTATTTATCGTATTTTTATTATTTATGGTATTTTAAATAAAGGTCCATTTTTATTTATTTAATTGTTTTGGAAATTTTATTTTATAATTTAAAAACTTTGGGGCATATTATTCTATAAAAAGAAATTTAAAGTCAATGGTATTTAAGGAAATTCAAAGGACTAGTTTGAATAGGAGAAGGGATCATTAAGGGTAGAAAGGGAATTTAAGCTTAGGAAGCTTTTAGAGAGAGGGTATAAATGACCATCTTATGAGCAAGTTAGATCTTGCCCAAGGTAGAGAATACCCAAAGGTAAACTCTCTCTCTCTCTCCCCTTTTATTTTTCTCTCTCATTTAATTTTCCCCCTTCCCTTTTTAATTTTACACACACCACGGTGGCCGGCTGCCACCACCACCATAGTCGGCTACCGCCGCCAACACAAGGCCGGCAGCAGCAACAGCCGTGGGAGGTGGCGCCAACCACCCTCCCTTTCCCCCTTGTGTGTGCGTGTGTTTTATTAAAAAAAAAAAAAAAAAAATTCTTCTTTGTTTTTTTTAAAACTTATTCTAGCTTTGATTCGATTATTATTTTTGGGTTGTGTGATAATTTTTATGATGTTAGATTATAATTATTATGTATATAATTTTCAGATTTGGTTTTTGAATTAAAAAGCCCCAAATTGAAAACCCTAGGTTTCTAATTAATGTATATTGATGGAAATTGATTGTGGGTGATTGAAACTAATAAATTAGATGTTTTTAAACATAATTATAACAATTTTACATGTTTTTACAAAGCTGAAATTTTTATATAAAGGTTATAATTATGTTTCTTGGAGGGATTTTTATTTAATATTAATTGGGAATAAAAGGATTTTAAATTAATTTTCAGCTTGTTTTAGAGGGTTTATGAGTGATTTAAAGAGTTTATATATTACTGAAAATTTATATTGAATGGGTATTAATGTCTCTTTGTAATTTTGGGTTGTAAGAGATTTTCAAGTGAGTGATTTTGTGTAGTCGTGGCGAAATTGAGATCATATTCAAGGTACGTTCGCGTACTCGGTAATTATTTAAGTGTATAGAAGCATGCTAGACTTTGTTTAATTAATTCCAAGGTAGTATCATGATAGGTGTTGGTTGGAATTGTTGATTGAATTGATGTTGGTGATTGATTTGTGAAGTATGAATTTATTTGTGGTGAATTGATGATTGTAATTAATTATACTGACATGTTGAATATGAACTACACTTTTATTATTGGCATGATTGAGAGCATGTTTAATTAAACTAAATGTTTAATTTGGTTTGGAATATAAAAAGGGAATTTTTTTGTATTTCGTATAATTTTTATTGATACTTTAAGCATGGGAATTAAGCTATTAAGTGTCTTAGTACACAGGAAAAAATTATATTGCGGTGCCTATGTGCACTTAAGGTGTTCTAAACACCAAGGGATAGGATTTGCGGTACCTTATGCACTTAAGGTATTATTTAACACCGAGGTAGTTTAAAAAGGATTCAACATTAAATTATGTAGTCATTAATTATTCAAGAATTAAATTGGTATGTTTGATTGCTTGAATGATTTATTATGATTGATTGTGTTATGGTTTAAGAGTCATCAACAAGTCTAAAAATATGTAAACAACGTAAAGTGAAAGGGGTTACGCACCCAAATTCTTGGAACGTATATACCTCGAGTATGAACATATGGGGGGAGTTATGGGGTTTTATATTTAACCATGACTTCTATTGGGAGTACAGGACGCTGTATTTTCCTTTTATTTATTTTATGCGCAGGACGTCCAGTCACTTCATGTGGCATTTGCCTACCCGGTTAGCTCCCGGTGTAGTTTACCTCAATTTATTTGGGGCAGGGATTTTGGTGGGAAACCCATTCGATGCGTAATTAAATTAAATAAGCAATTTAGTGGTCTATTTATTTGTTGGTTGTGTTGTAAGCTTGAAAACAGGTGCAACAAGGTAAGTTATGTGTTGATAGAATTAAAACATGTTAGTGTGTACTGTTTACGCTTATGTACTCAGAATTGCTGATTGTGTGTTGTATGTTTGTTTGGTCTTGTCTTTATCTTGGCCCTACGACGATCCATTTCTAATAGCGAATAATGGGGATAAAGTAAAGAGGATCTTTTCAGGTGTGGAGGCATATTCATGATGGGCATGAGTGAATAGCGAATCATGTTTAGTTTTCATAAGAATATGATGTGGTTTTATTGCTTTAATTACATTATTATATTTTGCTTGTGAGACTAACGCAAAGTTTTGAGTTTTATTTCGGTTTTTATTAAGGGCCTACAATTGTTCCAAGTTGTGGGTTGACTTTGTTTGATTTTGGTTGACTTTGCTTTCGTTTGATTTGACTTTTTAAGTTGACTTGTTTTGAATGGTTTTAAAGAAAGTCTTCCGCTGTGTGTCTTTAATAATTGCTTTAGCCGTTTTCACGTTGCCATGAGATCCGGAGGGTTGTGCCTCCGAGGAAGGTATGAAGTCACTATGAGATGGACTTTGTTCGCCAATGGATGGACTGTGATCGAAGTCAGTTCTTCCATCTGATAGTCTATGAACATGTCGTAGAAAGGGGGGACACGAGTCTCCAATGTAATCGGAATTAGACTCATGTTGAAGCACTCTATCACAACTCTCTCCACTCACACTAGGCACAATTTGCTGCACTCGAAGAGGTGAGGGGTTAGAAGAGGCAATGGAGTAGATATTTTCCTTCCCAATCACAGAAGGCTTAGAATATGGAAAAGAGGATTTTCTTACTTCCAATTTCTTTCCTCTAATACTTTCTCTGTTATGGATAGCCAGAGGATTCCTCATTATTTTACCAAAATAGAGGATCCTTCTAAGGATCTTCCGCCCTTTCCGAGTTCGTATTTTGGGAAGTATCCATCCAATCCTTTCCTAAAAAATTTAAATCACTTAGCCCCGGATTGGTGTTATTTCCCAAACTCTCACCTTCTCAATCTCCATGTCATGGGACATAGGGTTAGAAGAATTATTTCAACTTTTTATTTGAACGTTGAAGGATGTCAGTTTCCTCACTGGAAAGCGCTTCTTCTTTTCTCTCGCTCTCTAGCATTCTTCAAAAATGAAAAGTATTTGTGGATGGAATTTTAGTCAAAATTGTACTTTGTAGCAAGCCCTTTACGACAACAATCAAATTGTTACTAGCTACCTTAGTAACCCTTCAATTTTGTGCATTCCCTTTTTTTTTTTTCTTCCTTTTAACAATAAGTCAATAACCTTTAAATAACTTCCACTATTCTAAATAAAAACTATTCTATAACTTCCATTTCTATAATTTTTTTACTACTACAAATACATACTACGTATATCCATACACTCTAATACCAACGCATTAGAGAGCTTTGGATTCGGTTAATAATATGAAGTAGGAGGCCCATATATTAGAGTTTTGGATAAACAATGCGACTCAATACTTGGCCTGATTGGCTCAAATAATTTTTTAACCTATACCTCCAAATCAAATGGGGATCCATTTTTTCCTTAAAATTACAATAACTAGATGGAAGCCCATGCGATGCACGGTTTTTTCATCTAAGATTTTTAATTATTTGATTTATTGTATTTAATAATTTCAGACAAAATTACAAAAGTTTAATATTTAATTTTTTTAGTATAATTTATAATGAATTTGTTAAATATAAATAAATTTTATATATGATATTTTTTCCGTTATATAAAATTTTTAATGTGAAATGATAAATTTTTTATAATTTAAATCCTAAATCATTATTCATTGTTTTACCATATCTTTTATTTCGATAGAATCACCAACCTCGTCCACAACCAACCTACTACATTAATGGATAAATTGAACCATGAAATGTTAGCCAAACTAAAATTGATATAAATTAAATCTTTACATTTATGTAAAATAAATCAATATATTTACCTAAAATGAAAAATTGTTGCGATATAAAATCAAACCTATGCATTGGAATTTTTTATCATCTCCAAAAATAACCAAAGTCATCCATATATTAAGTATACAACATCTATTCGTATGTCATTACATAAACAAATAATCGTTAAATATCCTAAATAAATACAATGTAATTAATAATTACAAATATAAATTTAAACATAAGATTTTAAAAATTACCTGAACATTAATGACCTAAAATTAACACAAAATTACTAACACAAAATTCGCTTGATGGGGTTTGCATTGATACGAAATTTTATATATGTCGTATGATGTGTTAGTTTTGCATGTAAAAAAACCATTTAGTAAATAAAACATAAACATATATCGTTGAGTATCCCTAATTAGTACAATGTAAATAGTAATTAGAAATACTAATTTAAACATAGGATTTTAAAAATTAAGCTAAAAATTACCCGGCCATTAATGACCAAAAATCAACACAAAATTACTGACACAA